CAACAACCTCAGTTGAGTGACAGGAAGCTACGAGTTGTGCCCCCTCAGAGGCCACACCCACGGCTTCCACAGCTCCGGGTGGGGGTGAAAGATCGTACTCTCCGCCTGTGAGAAGAGATCCCTCCTGACGGAAATCTGCCAAGGAGAGCCGTCGAGAAGGGAAATCAGGTCCGAGAACCATACTCAGACCAGCCAGAACCGGGCTACTAACAGTAGATGGACCCAGTCCTGGCACACCCTCTCCATAATTCCCGGGAGCAGATCAATCGGGGAAAAAGGCATACAGACAAAGCCTCGGCCACGTCTTTACCATAGCGTCCAGTCCGAGAGGAGCTGGATGAGTCAGAGAGAACCAGAGGGGACAGTGCGATATCTCTCGAGTCGCAAACAGGTCCACCTGAGCCTGGCCAAAAACTCTCCCTATCTGCTTCACCACCTCGACAGGATGTCTGCTCCCATATTGAGATGCCCAGGAATGTGAACTACTCTCAGCGAGAGGAGTTTCCCCTAGGACCACACAAGGATATGGTGCGCCAGCCCTCCCTGGTGGTTGATATAAGAGACCACCGCTGTGTTGCCGGTGTGCACCAACACATGGCGATCTCTTAGGTCCGGGAGGAAGTGTTTCAATGCTAGAAACACGGCCAGCATCTCCAGGCAGTTGATGTGCCACGTGAGATGGCGACCACTCCACAGACCGCGGGCCAAGCGGGCACTCATGACCGCTCCCCAACCGGTGAGAAATACAACTGTCGCTGGCGTTATGCGGCGACAAGGAGCTCCCAGCACCGGGCTCTGAGACAAGAACCAAAGTTTACTCCACATGTCTAAGGCACGTAGGCATCGCCGCGTGACCTTGAGCATACGGAGCGGGTTTCCCCTCAGGGAGAACTCCTTGGTATTGAGCCACCACTGTAGGGGTCTCATGTACAGCAGGCCAAAAGGTATCACGTTGGACCCAGCTGCCATCAGACCCAGCAGTTTCTGGAACTGCTGACAGTGAGTGACCGGCCTTCTCTCACTATCGCGACTGCAGTGAGGATCGAATAAAACCGAGCAGGAGACAGACGTGCCTGCATCGTGGTCGAATCCCACATCACGTCCAGATAAGTGATTCTCCGTACTGGAGAAAGCACACTTTTCTTGGCGTTAAGTCTTAACCCCAGCTCTTTCATGTGAGCGAGAACGACATCTCGATGCCGGATCGCCATCTGCTCCGATTGAGCTAGTATCAACCAATCATCGATGTGGTTGAGTATGTGGATGCCCTGGAGTCACAGAGGAGCTAGAGCAGAATCCACACACTTTGTGAAAGTGAGGGGTGAGAGTGCAAGGCTGAACGAAAGAATCCGGTAAGCTTTTTCCCCCAAAAGCAAACCTCAGGAACTTCCATCCTTCTTTGGAATGATGAAGTACCGGCTGCAGAACCCAGACTGAGTTGAGAGGAGGGACCACTTCGATGGCCTCCTTCCTCAAGAGTGTGTTAACTTTTGTTCCATTACCAGAGCCTGCTCGGGGCCCACCAGAGTGGGAATGACCCCGTTGAAACGAGGTGGAGGAAAACCGAACTGATTTGGTAGCCTCTTTCTAGTGTGTAGGACCCATTTAGACACATTTGGCAGAAGTTTCCACGCTGAAAAAAAGGTCTACTAAGGAAATCAGTCTCTTGAGACTGACCTCTGGTGTAATCAAAGCGGCTAGATCGGTGCCCTGAAGCAGTGAACCGGCAGGGGACTTCCGACCTTGCTGCTCTAGAAACCTCCGAAGAGATAGCGGGCCTCTTAGTACCGCTACGTTTCCGGGCGGTGACTGAGAGAACTACTCGCCGGAGACCGCTGCGCCCTGAAGCACTGTAGGTGGCAGGGTTGGCAGAACGATCTCCTGAGGGCACTGAGGAGAGACGGGCACTGTAGGTGTACACCGCTCTTCCCCAGAGGGGCTTGCCCTCCGAAGTCCTGGGCCCTAGGCGTCAGGACATTTTAGTCGAAGACTATCCAGCAAGAATGACAGTCCGCAGATCCGCCTTCCACTAGAAGCCTTCGGCCCGGGAGTGCCACTCTGACTCTAAATTCTGAGGAGTATGAGAAGTGACGCTCCCTAGATGAGGAGCTGGAACCCGGTTGGTTGGGGCTGCTCCCACCCAGCAGCCCCTGTTGAGGTAAACGCGTGCTCTCACTCGAGAAAATTGTATTTATTTATTTTCCAAGAGCTCCTCAGAACTTCTCATAGTCAGAATAAAATGTAGCCAAACAACCAGACAAGTAAACACGGTCTGGTGTGATAAGATTCATATCAAAACCGAAAATGATGTAATGCACGCGTTACCTCGGCATCGCACGAGCCGCTTGGTCAAACAAACAATATCAATCTCCTCAGAGAAAGATACTTGCAGCAGCGAGCTCTCACTCAGAGGGGGAAGAAACCACAGCGCGGGCTTCCGAACCTCGAGAGAGAGAGCGCTAGATCTAGGGAACGCGGGTGGAGATAAGGAGAGCTTGTCTCCAACCCCTCTGCCTGATCATGTGCGATCCCCACGATCTCAATCGCCGCCATGCCTCAGCAGCAGCGGGACCGGAACCGCAAGATCTCAGGCACGGAGACACTTCTCGGAGCGTGCCCGGCGAGAGCGGAGCGTTAAACAGCGGGAAAAGCACAATCAGCCCCCCTCTCTTTTTCCCGAGAGCTGACTGCGTTAGCTCCGCTCCCCAGTAATGCTGCTCATTATAATTAGGCATAATATGCTTTTGTAACTGATGCTTGTGCAACTGGCGAACTCATCGACACCCTCCATATCAACCTCCTCGGAGGAAGACAGGCGGAGCATCGGGCCCTCTTATTTTCTATTTTTCAGAAGGACTTGTTTTCTTTTTCCTCTCATTTCACTTCCAAATGTGTGTTTGGATACATACCTGATTGTGACAATCGAATACTGTTTGGAGTGGATATGCCTTTGTGTTGGATTCCTTTGTGGAGGCTCATTCGTCTGCTAGTTTGATTTATCAACTCTAAAGCAGATAAACATATTTCAACGCACTCAATGTTTTTCTTCGGAAAGAATAACTCATTTTTGCCACGGAATGGATCTCGAATAAATAAACAAGAATAAATAAACAAATATTGTAGCCTTGTCCTTGATTTTAAACCCAGAAAATCGTCTTAGAGTTCTTATCTGAGAAATGATGATCCATTCCGTGGCAAAAATTAGTTATTCTTTCTAAAGAAAAACATTGAGTGCGTTGAAATATGTTGATCTGCTTTAGGGTTGACAACTCCAACTAGCAGATGAATGAGCCTCCACAAAGGAATCCAACACAAAGGCATATCCACTCCAAACAGTATTCGATTGTCACAATCAGGTATGTATCCAAACACACATTTGGAAGTGAAATGAGAGGAAAAAGAAAACAAGTCCTTCTGAAAAATAGAAAATACCAAAAACAAACATAAACATTCCTCCCACATTCTAAATAAAGAAGGAAGACAATATTACGGTGGCCGAGAGAGCTCAACGCGCTGCAACTTAAGAAAACACATGCAAATTGAAAAAACACCAGCAAATTACATCAATTTTAAATTTTTGTAGGAATTCTTTTGTTGGATAAACTCTATGAATTCATTTATATGAGATTTCCTTAACCTTATTTGTAAGGAGGAATTTTTGAGGTAATGACCAAACTTGAGTCCAATTTACATTATTAAAGATATTGTTCCAGTAGAAAATAACATAAGGCGTAGAAATATTCTCTTTTAAAAACAAGGATCTAATTTTATAGTTGTTAGGCTTTAACCCTGAGAAACAGATAGTGTCGACTAAGGTATGTTCAGGTCTAGGAGGACAGACAGAAAGTGCGGATGTACATATACTGCTTTTGAACAGCATATGTACACCTGCGGGAATGGCCCTAGTAAGCACCTTACATTCTTTTAATGTAATAGGTATTTTGTATCTTGAGATAAAGTCTGCAAATGTAAATAAAGAGTGTAGGTTCTCTTCCAAGACCTACGCTCTTAAAAATAAAGGTGCTTAAAAGGATTTTCACAGCGATGCCATTGAATAACCATTTCTGGTTTCACCATTCAGCCAAAGGTTATTTAAAGAACCATCTCTTTCTTACCTTTTTAGAATCTGAAGAACCTTACTTTGCCATAAAGAACCTTTTGTGAAACAAAGATTAATTCAGATGTTAAAGGTTCTTTATAGAACCATTTAGACAAAAATGTTATTCTATGGCATCGTGAAGCACCTTTCTTTTTTAAGAGTGTAGGCATACTGAAATTCAAAGAAAACAAATAAAACAAAACATTTTTTTTGGAGTAAGTTAAAACATGTTTCGTTGATCTTACAACTAACCCCCAGTCCTGCTTTTACAACTAACCCAAAGTCTTGTAGCCATGAACTAGCTCTCATGTATTTACATGTCTATTTATATTCATATAATGTATATTATAAATAAATATATTTAATATATAAAAAATAGCATATTTTTCTGAAATATGTACATGCATGTGTGTGTATTAATATATACATAATAAATATGCACTGAACACACACATATATTATGCAAACAAAACCTTTATTTTGGATGCAATTAATCGCGATTAATCGTTTGACAGCACTAGTTTTATTTGTCATACTGACACAAATTTCAAATGATTTGTAATAGTCAAATTTTGAACCTTCTGTATTTGACTATTCTTTCTTACCAGACTGTTAAAAATTCCAGCCACAATCAATCACAACAATGTATATACAATCACAGCTGATTAAGCATATAAATTGTCAGTTCGTTGTTTTACTCACATGCGCACAGACATTATTTATACATGACATATTCTTGCATGTCGTGAGATGCATAAGAAATCTTTAGACACATAACGCAAACCATAATCAAATGCGAGCATTTTTGATGATCGTTTCTGTTCAGTCTGCTCATTTTATAGCATTTAACCACCGCCTCCAGTTTCCCCTTGGTTTTGATTCCAGCTAACGCTGTGATGTAATTGTGACGTCAGCACTAAAAGGGTCTATTAGTTCTCTCTCTCGCACGCTCTCTCTCTTACAACACTATGTATATTTTATAATGTGATATTTTCCCCAACTTCTGTACCATGCATGATGTTTTACACTATCATGATGTTTTGCACTATTTTTTTTCTTTTGAAGCTAATCTGCAATAGAAATGTGCAATTATTTGTCACTCAAATTAATAATTATTATTAATACACAAAGAAAACAAAGTTTTGCTGTGTTTTTTTTTCTAATGTTACGAATGTTCTCGTAGCCAAGGCAACCGCAGTCCATGTATCATCTGATCATTCAATTATTCCATTCAATCTGGCAAATGAAAAATGGTAAAAACTGGTCAATATTTAATTTTTCTGTTTTCTGTATGCACCAAAAATTGAAAGTTGGCGTTTTGTGGAGGAATACACTTGAGAAATCAAAAGATGGCTTGTTTTTTTTAATCAAACAGAAAACAATATTTTAACTCGATATCTCTTATAAAAACACCTACTTTTTTTTTTATTAATTTTAAATAGTAAAATACAAAAAAAGGGAGATTTTTAATACAAATAAGCACAATTCAAACTGCAATACCAAACAGGACCACAGGGAGATGGCAAAATACCACTAAACCTGCTGCCTTGCTTGGATTGCATTATGCTACTATATGGATATTGAAGCCATAAACCAATTTGTAAACCAAAATAAGAGATGTCAAACCAAAATCTAATTTTTTCGTTTGTTAAAACAAAACAAAAAATGAGCCACCTTTCAATTTCTTGAGTGTATTCCTCCATGGAACGCCAACAGTTTTTGTTCATACAATTTTTTTTTCAAAATTTGGTTCATACAGAAAAACTAAATATTGACCGGTTTTTACCGTTTTTTTGTTTGCCAATTTGAATGGAATAATTGAATGATCAGATGATACACAGACCAACCACCAATATTAACCCTTTAGCACTTCACCTTGTAACAGAGTGAAATGTCTGTCACAGTTTTTCCATATCCTTAGGGTAATGGAATTAAAAACTCTATGTGTTGTAATACTACGAGGCACTAGATGGCACTTGTTAGACACACCTGGATTGTATATCAGGTGAGTAGTTGCCTGAAGAAGTAGTTCAGTTTGGGTAGAGGGAACGCATGTTTCTTTGTGCTAGCTTGATCTGTTGGTTTACAAAGTCCTAGCTGAGAAACCTTTGGTTTTAAGCTCAACATGTGAGTATATTAGAATATTGTACGGTGGCCGAGAGAGCTCAACGCGCTGCAACTTGAGAAAACACATGCAAATTGAAAAAACACCAGCAAATTAAGAAAACATCTTCATCAGTTTGACAACACACGTGCTGCAACTCCCCAGAACAAATAGACGGAGCAGAGATTCGCATCGGAAACTCTTTGGAGAACAATGGCAACAACAATCCCATGTGAGACCCGCTTTCCGTTGCTTAATATCCATGAAAATCCCTGAAAACATGTATGACGAAAGACTAGAAGTCTAAATGATGGTTTCTCCATATCTCTTTAGATGTGCTGTAATTTCTAGCATTCCAGCTGGTTTTTCCTCCACCTACACATGTAACAATATGGATGGTCGATATGTGAGTCTGTTCATTCCTGGAGATTCAAGGATTCTTACTCTGTGTGAGGTGGAGGTCTATGGAAAAGGTGTGATCAAGCAAGCAGATTTTGTGTTTTGGGAAACTATTAACGGCTTTATTTTTTTAATACAATGTATTGTTCGATAATGTTAAAGTTCAAGAGTTGCATGCTCTCAACAATCAATAATTCATTACATAAAACACATTTGTGTTTGGCACTAAACCATGTCCATCCTTATTGAAAGTGAATCTGTATTTAATGTCTTTCTTTTTTTTTTTTTTTACATTGATTTTGAGGATCACTACACAATCTCTCATTGCATCATTTTAATCTTAAGTGACAGATGCATTTGCACAAAATTGCTGTAGATACAGTATTTTAGATACAGTATCTTATTTGCATTTAGCATTTTCTTTTCCCTTCTGTCCATGTATGTTCACTCTCATGTGCCCTTTTAGGTCCTGTACTGAAGAAAACCTTTGTGAAGATGAATCTGAAATCCAGTTCGAGTCTGTCTGAACCTGGAATGAGAGTCCAGCTCCTGTCACAGGTGAGAAAGGAAAACATACAGAAATCTGAAATCAAATCACACTGATAGCAGTTTTAAGAGATCTGCTCGTTTTAGCTTCAGCCTGCTTTGGTGGAACGAGGGTTTTCTGACGTGATGCTGCAGTGGTCTCAACCACCCGAAAAGGAAGTGATGCGGAAGGAAGCTGTGCCAAGTGAGTGTGCTCAAATAAACACTGGAAAACTGAAAAGGAATGTTAGTTAAATGTTGAGGATTTTTTTAATTTAAATTATTTAAATTAAAATGCATATATTACATATGAATAGGAAAGTGACGTTTTTATGATGTAATGAACTGTTTTATTTGCAGCTCAATGTGCTATAAGAAAGAGATGATGATGATGATGATGATGATGGGGAAACCTAAACTCTCTTCAGATCAGCTGTGATGTTCTTCTTTTAGGAGCTCGAATATTCTCCTGTCCTCAATGTTGATCACAATAAAGTTGTACATGAAAATTAATAATTAATAATAATAATAATAATAATAATAATAATAATAATAATTCATTACATTTA